AAGTTCAAAACTAAAAGGCAGTAGCCTTTTTTTAGCTTTCCAACACCAAAAAGGAATGAAAATTTCAGTCTAATGAAATACTAACTGTTTTCAACAAAATTCAGTGCTCATTACCCAAAATTTCAAACCAAAACCAGCCAGAGCACAGAGGTTTCTTGGTACCCTCTGGAGATCCAGTGACGAACGTAACAGAACAAGGACGACACAGGGGTGAATTGCAGAAACCCCACAGACCTGGCTATTTTTTCATAAAAATTAAACAACAGAAAGGCCGCCCACTGACCTCCTGGGCAAACTCTCACCCTGTCTGACAGCTACACCAAGCCCAGGCTGCCCACAAGCTCTGAGCCAACTTGGAGCATCGTGCTATGAGCCATCACTGCACAGCTTCAGCCTCCCCCACCCGAAACCAACTGCAACGGGGACATCCCCGCATGCCCCATCAATGGCACCAGCTCCTCGTTCCCAGCTGGTGCCAATCTGCCGGGCCTGGAGGAACGCACCAAGCGAGGGTCTGGCCCGTTGCAGGTCAGAGCTGTCAGTACCAGGAAGATGTCAGCACGCTACAACGGATTTGCTGACAAAGTAACTGGAATCGATGAAGCCAGATGGATCTGGGAAAGCCTCCATGCCAGGGAGGGGGGAATTTATTCTTGGCTCCACTCAGCAATAGAATAAAACAAGCTGTGAGTTACAGCCCCTTCTTCCCTGCTTTTCCCTCAAATGCCTTTGCACTTTTCTCTCTACGTGAGTTTAAAACCTCAAACCTCCCTCTTTCTCATATCGCTCCTGAAGACCTCTATCTAGCACGATTTCTGGGGTGCCACCAGCTGATTAGAGAAAAAACCCTTCCAAATGTCAGGTTTGTTGTTATAGTCAATGCCAGAGCCAGCAAACCTGGAGCCTTCAGCTACACCTTGCAGAAACAGAGTCTCAGTTATTCAAAGAGATATCACCGATATCTCACAGACACAGGGTTATTCCTGGGATTACCTTCTAGGGCCACCTACCTCCAGCCATGTGAGCAGCATGCACCCACCTCTGCCAGATGTTCAAAGATCTCCACCTCAAAGTCCGTGCGGTTTTGTGCCCAGGTAAGTTGCAATTAAGCTGCTTAACACTTGGATGGGCCCCTTTCATTTAGAGCACAAAGTGGGAGAAACCAAGTGACTGCAAGAGCTCCTTGTAAAAGAGCCTCACCACAACTGCCCCAACCTTCCCACTGAACAAACCAGACTGTTGCTTGCAGGTTCTTCTACAATAGAGGTATGGGTCCTCTTCCAGTGGCTCTCTTCAGCTTTGCAAAACAGACTCTTTTGTATTCTGGCATCACTATTTCGTTTTCTTGTTGACACCTAACACCAAAGTCTAGTAGCAGAACGGGTATGAAGACAACAGCTATGTTCCTTGGTCTGGTTTCTGCCAATGGCATGGCATGACATGGATCTGAAATTGCCAGACATGCTCCCATACTCATTATGTTCACCTCCTGGAATTTCTTTTACGCAGCAATTTTCAGATGGGTTATGAACAAGCGACGCAGGTCTTGGAAGCTCCAGCCCAGTGGTTTATTTCCAGGTCCACTCAAGCACCAAAATTTTTCAACTTGTATATTGAGATGCTCTTGAAATTCCACCCTGAATGTTCATTTATGTAGATGACATTTGCTCAGACATTCAGTGTCAAGGTTTTTCTGCCCTAGAGGACCTCTAGAATTCAGATCTGGCAGCTCTAGTCAGCTACCGCTGCAACTGGCACTCAAAGCTGAACATTTCAAAATCAATATTTCATGCATTTTCCACCTCCACAGCGCCTGCCAGACGAGGGACCTGAGCACCTCTCTGACTGGGTGCCCAGTGAAACGTGATCCACATCCAGCATGTCTCGGCGTCGCTCTTGATAGACTCTGATTGTACCACGGCCATCTGATAACATCGTCTGCAAGAGTCAAAGCCTGCCAGGCTTAGACCTGGGGATCGAAAGTTTAAACCCTGCAGACTTCTGCTCTTCTCTCTGGCTGGAAGCAGAGCATCACGCTCATCTGGGACCTGGACCAGCCTGCTCCTCCGCTGCTGAAGTCGATATGCAACTTCATGCGAACGTGTGAGTGCGCTGAATCTACCTTTCCACCCCAGCTGTCCCTGCGAAATGACAGCGCTCCGGCACGCCGTGTGCACTGACCCCTTCACCAAAACGGCTGCACGGCTTGCAGTCCAAGCAACCGTCTCCTCTCAGGACTCGGCAAGCTGCAAGCACACTCTGGCCATGCAAGTAACACGGCGTGACTTGTCCACGCCTTCTAGAGAAAGATGGCACAAAAAGAAGCAAGAACGGAAGAAGGGAATTCTGGATAAATGTTGAGAGAGGATGTTAAAGAAATGTGCATTTATGTATTTTTAGAAGAGCTGTCCCAAAAAGGACTTCCTCTCCCATGAGGATTTTTTTGAAATTCAGAATGGGGTAAATTCCTTTTAGAGAATCACAGAATGTTCGGGGTTGGAAGGGACCTCTGGGGTCCCCCAGCCCAGCCCCCTGCCCAAGCAGGGTCACCCACAGCAGGCTGCGCAGCACCGCGGCCAGGCGGGGCTGGAATATCTCCAGAGAAGGAGACTCCACAGCCTCCCTGGGCAGCCTGGGCCAGGGCTCCGGCACCCTCAGAGGGAAGAAGTTCTTCCTCTCAGCATGAGAAGCATAATATTTATACCATTAATCCAGCAAGAGAAGATATGGATAGAAAAATATTCTGATAAGGTTAAAATGTTTAGAAAAGCACAAACAGGAGCCTACACTTCCAGTCTATAAGTTGAACTGATGCTCACAGGATTTACAGGCTCCTGCTTTCCCTCAAGATGCTCCGTGGGAAGACTGAAGCCTCAAAAACCCAAGCAATCCCAATGCTTTGAAGCTTTGGAGATAAAGTTCCCAAAACTTCCAGTGCTGTGGCAAGGATTAAACAATCCTAGCTCCCGCTGGTCATCCCAAGGCTTCAGGGTCCGGTTCCACCATGTGGCACCTGGGTTTTCCCCGGGTTTGCAGGCTCCCCCCAGACCTGCACACCAGAACTAACCATCACAGAGCCCCTTCTACTCCGGGGCATCCTTGGTTTTTTGGGAGAACATTTGCAATCTGGGTTGGGGTGACCCATTCCTGAGGCTCATCCTGCAGTGCCAAAGGGAGCTCCAGCCTGCGAGGAGGCAAGTGGAACAAACAAAGGAGAGCAAATTGGAAGCTGCTTTCCTCCCAGCGGTGCTCTCTCCGAGGGCCAACACCGGCCAGGCTGGGTGCAGGTGGCTTTTAGAAGCTCAGAATTTGCCATCTGACCGTTTTGATTTAAATTCCACTTTCCATCGCCTGTGTTCAAAGTTCGGCGCATGGGCTTTTACAGCAGCAGTAATGAACCCGGAGTTCAAACAGCACATGGTGAGATCAAAAATTGCCAGAGTGGAATGTGTCCCACAAATACAAAGCATGGCTTTTCATTCATTATTTTTTCCTTTACAGAGAGGTTTTACAAGCTGTTTATTTTCTGATACAGTGTTGGCAGACATGTGGTCGGAGGAGAATCAATATCAGCACAGTGGGATGTATTTTCTTAAACGGTTTATAGAGGGGTCTTTGCTTTTTCAAAGGGGGATAATTGAATGTAGTACACACTGTACTTTTGATTTGTTTAACATGAAGCGTGAAATGGGTACAGCTATGATTCTGTCAATCAGTTTAACTATCCAGCGATTCATTTTGAAACTAGGCCTCCTCGCGGGGCCCGTCTGGCTCGAGGGATGGGGAGTTTGCTCAGCATCTTCCCCGCCGAAGCACCAGTTCCAGCCCAGGCTGTGCTGGGACGTTGGTGACCCACAAAACAAGCTGGGATGGGGGTCCCAGGCGAGCTTTGTGGATGCAGATGGTCCCACTGCAACGAGGTGTCTTTGTATTCAGACGAACACCAAGGCCACGTTGACAGGAGCAAGGCAGGGAGCAGGGGTGAAGATTCGGGGCTGAAGGGGTTTGAGCTTTCCAGGAGGTGTCACAAAACGGGACTGAGTCTTGAAAGCAGGGGTTGTCCCTGCTCTCCACGCAGAGACATAGACCCAGCAATACTCCTCTTCATCTCCCGGTGATGAGCAGCAAACTGAAGTAAACAAACCTCCCTCCCCTAAAGCGTTCCTTGAGACCCAGTCCAATTTTCAGCAGCGTTTTTCCACGTGTGCACCCCAACTCCATCCCTGTTTCCTTCCCTCCATGCAACTCCCAGTCCACATCTGATCATCACATTGCGCTAATGTCTCTAAGCCAAAAGCAACAGCCGACGGCAGACACAGGAATGAGGGGGCCAAAATCACACCCACTGTTCACTCTCCAGCTCAGTAACAAATTCTCGTGTTAGACCAAGGGCATCTTCACCCTGAATCCCAAACCAAAGCATTTCTTGCCATCTCTGCATCAACACTACATCCCAACCCTTGCTCCCGTACGCATCCCTCTTGCTTACCCCTTCAGGCACTTGGAGGCAGCTCCTTCCTTCCACCCCTCCTCAGCCCTTCTGTGAAGTTACTGCACAGCACGGTGCCCATTACACTGTGCTGGAGACCAGAGGTGCACATCTAACCACCCCTGTGGAAATGCCAGCTCCATCTTTGGAGTAACCCTGTTGTTGAGTAGGCATCTTGGAAGTCCGATGCAACCTGGAGAGTACTTTGACCCCACTGCATGAATATTCAGCTGCCTCCAGTCCAGAGGAGTGTTTCCTGGGGGGTCAGTCTCTCCAGACTCTCTCTACAAAGCCACCTCTCATTCTGACCCCACAAACATATTCAAAATGTGGATTTTTTTAAACCAATGTCCCCACGCACCCACAACTTTGTGTTTCAAATAACACAGAGGTAAGGCTGAGCCGTGCATAGCTCTGTTTGTCCTGCAGTTCTGCAGGTCTTCGATCATGCAGCACATTTCACCCCAAAGTTTCTCTGAGAAGGTAGAAGCATCTGTCCAGGGACACTCACCTTTTTTGCGATGTAACACATTTGCTCAGCAGGGAGATAGTCAAAGGGGAAGATGAATCTCCAGTTGAAGTTGCCCTCTCCTCCCATAGACCTGTAGTGCACGTCTGTCTTCTGCTTGTTTTCCTCGTGGCCAACCAGCCAGCTGCAAAACGCAAACATATTGCATGAAAAACTAGAAACACACCAAGGACTGGAAAACTAGAAACACACCAAGGATTTTGGAGTTCACTCAGCATCACAGAGGCCATGAGCAGGCAATAAAATGTCTCTCTTCCCTGTGGCTCCCATCTGTAGGGGTAACCTGGAGCCCGTAGGAGACTTGAGAGGGAGTGCAACAGTCCCTGCAGTGTTGGGAGATGAACCAGTGCTGGTGATAGCAGCCTTAGAAGCTCTGCAATCTCTTCTTCTCCCTCCCCTGCGTTTTATAGATGTTTTAAAAACTCATCAGCACCCTAAGCTCTGGCTCAAGGTTGTCACTTACCCACCCACAAGCACATGTCAGCTTCTAGCCTGCCTTGGTGAGAGTTCCTGTCCCCTCTGTCGGCTTCCCAACAAACTGACCTTGTAGTTAGCCCCTAAAGCCAGCCCTGCTGACGAGGCAGTGATGCTAAAGGACCAAAGGGCCATTTTTTTCCCCCTCTATTCTCTGTTGATCTCTCAAAGACTATTATTTGAAGGTCCTAAATGGTCAAGCAGTTTTTCCCCAGGAAAATCCCAGAGTGGCCAAAGCCTAATGTGTCCAGGGTGGTCCCCAGCCACTCCCATTAGACAGAGTTCCCTTTCTGGAGCTTGCTGTGGTCACTCCGCAACCACTCTAGGGGCAAACTGAAAACTTTCATAGAATCATAGAATGGTGTGCGTTGGAAGGGACCTTACAGATCTTCTCATCCCATGGGTAGGGACTAGTTCCACTAGATCAGGCTGCTCAAAGCCCCGTCCAACCTGGCCTTGAACCCTGCCAGGGAGGGGGCAGTCACAGCTTCTCTGGGCAGCCTGGGCCAGGGCCTCACTGCCCTCATGGAGAAGAATTTCTGCCTTAGATACAATCTAAATCTCCCCTCTTTGAGTTTAAAGCCATTACTCCTTGTCCTATCACCCTGCTAAAAAGCTTGCTTCCACCTTTCTTTCGAGCACCCTCCAGGCCCTGGCAGCTGCTCTAAGGTCTCCCCTTGTCCTTCTCCTCCCCAGGCTGAGCAGGCCCAGCTCTCCCAGCCTTTCCTCCCAGCAGAGGGGTTCCAGCCCTCGCATCATTGCTGGGGCCTCCTCTGGCCCCACTCCCACAGCTCCAGCTCTGTCTTGTGCTGGGGGCTCCAGAGCTGGACACAGGACTCCCGGGGGGGGGCTCCCCAAGTTCACACTGCCAGGTCATGGCCAGCTTCGCACCCCCAGAACCCCCAAGCCCCTCTCCTCAGGGCTGCGCTCAATCCATTCTGCGCCCAGCCCGTGTTTGTGCTTGGAATTGCCCCGACCCACGTGCAGGACCTTGCACTTGGCCTGGTTGAACCTCATGAGGTACGCTTGTGAGTAGTTGTTTCCATAACAACTACTTTTTTCCAGCTGTGAGTTTTGCAACTGTCGGATTTTCATGCTCCCTAAAAAATCCCTGTCCAAAATTTTTCGGTCTTCAGCAATCAACGAAACAAAACAAAACAAAACAATAAAACACATCCATTTGTGTATTTAGAGCCCTTTTGGAGGAAAGCCAGAAGATTCAGAGACAATCTCAAATGAAAACAATTATCTCGTCTGATTGTTCTCCACTTCATTTGAAAATAAGCTTTTTTGCCCAGCTATACAAATGATTCCCTCTTCTGCAGTGCTCGAGAGGAGCACAGCAGCAGCTCCAAATGTGTTGTGGGAGACAGGGAATGGAGGTCTACTCAAGTTCATCCTGCAGCGCGCATCACATCCACGTGTGCTACATGGACAGAGAGGGCTTGGTGGCAGTGGGAACTGTGTGATGAGGTTACACTCATACTTAAATGGTGACTGCATTATTTGATTTGATCTGATAGGATGCAAATGGCAAGCCCGTGTGTTTATCCCCGTCCTTCAAAGCTTGGCAGGGACCCTCGGAGGATGCAGTGTGGGCGCCCTCTCCTTGCAGGCCACCAAAAGGACAAATGAAGGGTTTGATTTGCATGTCTCTCTCTTTTTTCCTTGCAGAACTTGCTGCACCCACCCCACTGCAGGAAAGAGATGCCAGAAAGCAAAAGCACTCAACCCACGGTGCCCCAGAATTCAAAACATAACGTGGGAACAGCCGTTCTGACCAACCAAAGGCTCATCTCGCCCAGTATCCTACTTCTGACCGGGGCCAACAGCAGATGTCCAGGGAAGAGTATGGGCCTGAGGCAAACGCATCCTGATACCTTCCCAACACACCTCTCCAGACTGCAATCATTTGCAGGTCAGAGAATTCCTGAGCTATGGATAACGGTTTTGTAGATGACAAGACCGGGTGGATTTTTAGCCAATCCATTCATTCAGCGTTTTTTAAATCCATGCAGCTTAAGGCCTCTGCAATACCTTAGGTTCTTAAATCTAAGAGGTGACCTTGTTCTCAAAACTCGCACACCTCCTTCTTTGCTCAGCACAAGCGCAAGATCTTGGAGGACACTGACCATCTGTCCTGGGTTTGGCCAGGACAGGGTTAATTTTCACCAGAATCCAGGAAGGGACGCAGTCGGGCAGGCTGACCCAACCTGGCCAAACAGAGCAGCCATCCTTTTCTTTAGGAACCCAAAAGAGGATGCAGATAAGTTTTAAAGATGCTACATAATATCAGACAAATCTTAGTAGTGGTGGTTGGTTGGAAGGGGACTTTGGAAACTTCTAGTCCAACTGGCTCAAAACAGTACCGGCTTTCCCTTGAAATAGCTCCAAAAACTTGCAAGATGAGTGAAAACCTCCCACCTCCCATGGGACGTGGCTCAGTGTTGGTCCATCCTCCCGGTGAAGTAAAACTTCTCATTGGAAACGTCACTATGAAAACCATATAAAAATATCCCCCACCCATGACAGTGACAGAGAGGACTGTTAACTCAGAAAAACATCTTCAGTTCCTAAAGAATATGATTTCCCTACGCTGCCACTCTCTTGTCTGCCTACAGCACGAGTCTTTTGGAAGAGAAGGTCTCTCTGCGCTCAACCTTGCAAAACTCTCTTGGTTGAGACCTCTTCATGCTATTGTAAGGCTGATTAAATTAAATAAAATAAACAGCCACTGCCTCAGGCATATTTCATTTACCTGCCTGACTCACTCAGCAATAATTTACATATTATGTAGAAGCGAATGTCCAAGAGATTGAGATTCTAGCCCTGCCTTGCCTAATGGGTAAGCTGGAGAATAAACTGGCAAAAGCCTGCTCAGAGAAGCGCTGTGAGATCTTCCGAAGGAAAGCCAGAGGTAAAAGCTCCTTCTCCTCTGAGTTCACCCTAAAGTAGGTTCCAGCCCCTGCTCGGGAGGCAGCGGTGGATGGAAGGAACGGTCCCCACCAAAGCCACCCCACGCCATGGTGGTGGAGGTCACTTTGCCCACAGCATCCCCTGTCTGTAGGGCAGATGCTTAAGGACAAGAACCATTGCCTCCCTTCCCACCAGGCTTCTTCAGGCCGTACCCAGAGATGCTAACGATGCAGCCATTTGGAGGGGGAAGATGAGGAAGCTGAGCAAGATTTTTAACTTGTTTACAGCACTGCGAGATTTGCTTGGTCACTGGGGATGCCAAAAGCCAGGCGAGGGACATCAGCGAGCGCTGGATGCTCTCGCCTTCCCAGTAATGCCCCACAAGCACCACTATTTCGGAGCCCCGAAGCGCACCGAGCAGCTTAGCTGGAGCCGATAACAATGCACTTGATGTGAATACCAGGTAAGCAGCGTGCATTCTGGTTTTACAGGAGGAAAATTGGGATTGTAAAAAAGGGATTTACAGTCTGTTTCAAAATCCTACCTCTTCCTGTCCATAAATCCACAGAATGTACAAAATAAGTAAGTCCCTTGGCTGGGATTGCAGCATTTTACACAAGATAAAACATAAATGGAGTCAGGCAGAGCAGGGAATGTGCCAGAGGAGTTACTGCTGGTTGCCACATTTTTGTGTGTTTCAAGGAAAAAAGGGAATTCCAAAAAAAAAGCAGCTATGCAAACACGCCAACCTACGTACATGGAACAAGCCCACGGCTGTCCTGGGAGAGGAGCTGGGAAGGAGCCGGCAGCGGAAATGCAGACTACGTGCCCCTCTCGCCAGTGGCTCAGCTGCTTCCCCACCTCTTCTCCCTCTAAACGCAAATATTATCACGTAAGCATCCAAGAGATGCAAAGACAAACTTGACATCGTGAAGCAGTTAAGAGCCCGTCAGAGACGCGTCTGCCAAGAACCTGGATCCGTAGCTGGAGAGGTGAGAATGGCCCCTTCATCCCAACAGGGCTTCATGCCTACCACAGAATCACGTAATAGTAGGGATTGGAAGGGACCTCTGTGGGTCATCTAGTCCAACCCTCCTGCCCAAGCAGGGTCACCTACAGTAGGTTGTAGAGGACCTTGTCCAGGCGGGTCTTGAATATCTCCAGAGAAGGAGACTCCACAGCCTCCCTGGGCAGCCTGGGCCAGGGCTCTGTCACCCTCAGAGGGAAGAAGTTCCTCCTCATCTTCAGACGGAACTTCCTCTGCTCCAGTTTGTGCCCATTGCCCCTTGTCCTGTCGCTGGAAAGAGTCTGGCCCCCTCCTCCTGCCCCCCCCCCTGCAGATATTTAGAGGCATTTCGAAGGTCCCCTTGCAGCCTTCTCTTCTCCAGGCTGAACAAGCCCAACTCCCTCAGCCTCTCCTCGCAGCAGAGATACTCCAGTCCCCTCCTCATCCTCGTAGCCCTCCGCTGGACTCTGTCCAGTAGCTCCTCATCTTTCTTGAACTGGGGAGCCCAGAACTGGACAGAGTACTGCACATGGGGCCTCACTACTCCAGATGAGGCTCACCACAGCTATGTCGACGGAAGAGCCACGCCAGCTCCTTCGCTGCTGCTCTTGTGCCTTTGGGCTACGGTACCCAGAGGATGCAGGAGCGGGTTGGCTTACCCTTTGACATAGATGTCACTCATCTTCTCCCCAGTGATGCTGATGTCATCAAGGATGACGTCCTTGGTGTTCCAGATGATGCAGCGCAAAAAGAACCTGTACAGCCCCAGGAATAAAAGCAACATGAAAGGGTGGAAATCTTCTTCCAGAGCACACCTACACAGCCCGGTTGTGCCACTCCTTTATTTAGCTGAAGGAGCTAAGATGTGACTCATCTTTCTCTGAAGATGAGCCCTCATGGATGTTTCATAGCTGGGCAGGTGAATGCCTCCCCATCTGACATCTCCAAGCCCTCTCCACTCCCTTCACAGACAGAACGTGATGGAACCAGCACCTCACTGAGTAAGGAATGAAAAACAAGTTACCTCTTGGCTTTGCGTGGCGTGATGTTGAAAGGGGGGCCCGGCTGACCCAGAGACTTTGGAAACAGGTCCACCCACATCTGTAGCTTTCCCTGTTTGGAAAGAAAGACGCGTGAAGCCTGGTGAGCCTCCTAACTGGGTTACCTTCCTCAGTAAGACCTAATAGTGGAGAGAAAAAATATCAAGCGCTCCAGTGTTCCTTAGCTGAAAACTAAGGTTTCCTTAATGGAAAATTGTCATAAAGTATTATATTAAAATTATTTTAGTGATAGCTGGCTGTATGTTAATGGCTTGCGATACGTCAGTAGTTGGTCTGGATAAGCTGAAGGTGCACTCTGGCTTTACTCTCCCTGGCTGACTATCTTTACACAGGCACAGACTAAAGACTAGGTCCACGGGAGGTGGACCTAGCTCACTTGTTTTCCATGGTGTCACCAGTTGTCAGCAGCTGGACAGCTGGTTTATGGGTTTCTGTCCACGGGAGCAGAGGATGGGATGAGGAGAGGGGAATCTAACCCCACTTTCACAAAATCCTTCAAGGGAGAGAGCAGCACAAACGCAGCTGAAATCTCAGGGGGGGGAGATGTTTTTAGGTGGTCTCTTTTACTGTAAAACACCAATGGGTGCCAATAAAATATTTTATTGCGCAGTCTCAAGGGTTGAAAGGAAAAAAAAAAAAAAAAGCCGTCCTTTGACAATCAGCCCGTCACAGAGGGGTTTGTGGTTTGCTTGCGTTTTGGCAAGAAAATCTTCCATTTCAGCAGAAAATTTTAAAAGCCCAACCTGGCTTCCAGCTCGCTACGAACAGCCCGACAGAGCCAGCCCCTTCTGTGGCTTCGCAGCGGGCCGGAGCCGTGCTTTGGGGAACCTTCTGAATGCGACACGTACCGAGTCACACAGGCTCAACCCCCCGGCCCCAGCCCCCCCCGGAGCCGATGCTCTCGGCTCGAAGCACCGGCGCAGGGCAGAGCCTGATTGCTCTGCCCATACGCAACCCCGCGTCATGGAGGAAGCACCCTTGCTAGTCTCCATGGCTGGTCCAACAACACCCATACCTGTAAGCAGAACACAGACCCCTTTCTCAGCTGATAGCAGCCATCTCCTGCCTCTGAACATCATTTTCGCTGGGTGAATTAACAGGACAAGGTGTTAGAGCAGTTGCCACTGCATTTATTCCTGCCAGTAGCTCTTCTCTCCACCACTGGAGAGGTGGTCTGGTTAAAAACGACCCGTGGAAGCAGATCAGTGGCTCTGCACATTTACACCATCTGCAGAGCCAGACTTACGAAACTGCCTTTGCAACACAACTGGAACATGTATGCCATACGATAATTCATCATTTTGTTCTTTGGGAAGCAGCATTTTTTCGATCCAAATGCGTAAACTACACACACGTGTTAATTAGAGAAAAGGGGTTACACTCAATACAGATACCTGGATTTCAGCTGGGTTTGGATGGAAGCCTGTTTGGTTTTCATTTGGCTTAAAAACATCCAGTCTGCAACAGCGTTAACACTACTAACACGTTACACCTCCGAGGGCAGGTTCATGCTGCAGAAATCAGGCTGCCACATTGCCGGAGGAGCCTGCAGCGTCGTTACCGTTATAGAAGAATTCTGCATTAAGATTTTCAGATCAGAAACGGCTTCCCCCCCCAAAAAAAAAAACAGAATTTTGAGCCACACACGATGAAACGCTGATGAACATGAACACGGGAGGCTGGCATTGATCTCCCCAAGCACCCTAAGCAAGCCAGCCACAGAGCTGAGCTCCAGCCTAGATCATCTAGTTCCAACCCCTTGGCCATGGGCAGGGACACCTTCCAGTGGAGCAGGTTTCTCCAAGCCCCGTCCAACCTGGCTGGATGATGGTCTCAGTCCTGTCCTGGACACGTCATGCCACCCACCTGCTCAATTTCTGGCTGGAGAGGGCTGTAGAGAGGTCTCGTCTCCACGTGCTCCGGCACCAGCCCTTGCTTGCGCAGGGCGTACAGGGCGAGACGCTCCTCAGCTGGCCCCAGGTGGGGGTTGAGCGGTTTGCCATCCTCTGCCACAGAGCAAAGAGCAGCGTTAGGCCGTGCCACGGTCGCAGACTGTGCGGGGCTGGATGCCGACCACCCCACGGGAGCCCACCAGACTCGCTGCAGCCTGGAGCGAGCAGGAGGAGCACAGCCTCCCTTTGCAACCCCACCGTCATCACAAGCCCTCCTGGGCACGGAGTAACCCATTCCCAGTGGGACATGTTAGCAAACCATTTCACAACAGGACAGGGACCTGCTGGGAGTCTTGTGCAAGTTCCCCTCCCTCCCCCCAGATCACTGCAAGTGAAACTTCACAAGGACCAAGTTGAAGCACATGGAAAGGAGAGTCCAGTCTTTGGTCCTGCTTACAAGTTCAGGCCCCCTAAAATCAGAGCAGCTGGGGCTGCAGGGTCCCCAGCCCACGGTGCTGCTCTGCTGCTGCTCCCACCCCCAACAAAGCTTTATCTAACTTGTGACCAAAGCTCTTCAGGGAGAGGAGGCAAAAGGGTCTGCTCTGGTGCAGTTTGCAAGCACTCATCTGATGGACATTGTTTAAATCTCATCTTTTAAAACCATTCAGGATCTTCAGCTGGGCAGAGAGGAGTGCAGAGGAAACGAGCTCACTACAGGGTCCTACTTCTTCTCTGCTGGGTTCAGGGTGAAAGACAGAAATAGGAAAAGGATGGCCATGCAGATACCACCAGCACAGCTCGCTGGCCAGTCCCAGTCCCTGCTCCGGTCCTCACCGCTCCCACTGGGGTGTTTGTGGTCTTTCATTGAAACGGGCCAGCACACAACAGCCACAGCAAACACCGAGCTGTCCAGGAGCAGACCTGAAACCATCCATCTCACAGAATCCCAGCATGGTCGGGGCTGGCAGGGCCCTCTGTGGGTCACCCAGCCCAGCCCCCTGCCCAAGCAGGGTCCACTCGAGCAGGGGGCACAGCACCGCGGCCAGGGGGGCTGGAATATCTCCAGAGAAGGAGACTCCACAGCCTCCCTGGGC